TGTGGCAGGATACAAGATCAACTCCCAAAAATCGGTTGCCCTCCTATACACAAAGGATAAAGAAGCAGAGAGGGAAATCAGAGAAACATCACCTTTCATGATAGCCACAAATAGCATAAAATATCTTGGGGTAACTCTAACCAAGGAAGTGAAAGACCTATTTGACAAGAACTTTAAGTCCTTGAAGAAAGAAATTGAGGAGGATACCAGAAAATGGAAAGACCTTCCCTGCTCTTGGATTGGGAGAATCAACATAGTAAGAATGGCAATTCTACCAAAAGCAATCTATAGATTCAATGCAATTCCCATCAAAATCCCATCAAACTTCTTCACAGACCTTGAGAGAACAATAATCAATTTTATATGGCAAAACAAAAAACCCAGGATAGCCAAAACAATCTTATACAATAAAGGAACTTCTGGAGGCATTACCATCCCTGACTTCAAACTCTATTACAGAGCAAGAGTATTGAAAACAGCTTGGTATTGGCATAACAACAGAGAAGTCGACATATGGAATCGAATAGAAGACCCGGGTATTAACCCACAAACATATGAACACCTGATATTTGACAAGGGAGCTAAAGGCATACAATGGAAGAAGGAAAGCATCTTTAACAAATGGTGCTGGCATAACTGGATGTCAACCTGTAGAAGAATGAAAATAGATCCATATCTATCACCATGCACAAAACTCAAGTCCAAATGGATTAAAGACCTCAACATTAATCTGACCACTTTGAACCTGATAGAAGAGAAAGTGGGAAGTAGTCTACAAGATATAGGCACAGGAGACCACTTCCTAAGCAGAACCCCAGGAGCACAGACAATAAGAGAAACAATGAATAAATGGGACCTACTGAAACTGAGAAGCTTCTGCAAAGCAAAGGACACTGTTAGTAAGACAAAAAGGCTACCTTCTGACTGGGAGAAGATCTTAACAAACCCTTCATCAGACAAAGGTCTGATCTCCAAAATATACAAAGAACTCAAGAAACTAGACACTAAAACTCTAATTAACCCAATTAAAAAATGGGGTACTGAACTGAACAGTGAATTCACAACAGATGAACTTCGAATGGCCAAAAGGAACTTAAGGTCATGCTCAACCTCCTTAGCGATCAGGGAAATGCAAATCAAAACAACTTTGAGATATCATCTTACACCTGTCAGAATAGCCAAACTCAAAAACACCAATGATAGCCTATGCTGGAGAGGATGTGGAATGAGGGGAACACTCATTCACTGTTGATGGGAATGCAAACTTGTGCAGCCACTGTGGAAATCAGTGTGGCGGTTTCTCAGGAAACTGGGAGTCAACCTCCCTCAGGAACCAGCAATTCCACTCTTGGGAATATACCCAAGAGATGCCCTAACATACTACAAAAGCATTTGTTCAACTATGTTCATAGCTGCACTATTTGTAATAGCCAGAACCTGGAAACAACCTAGGTGCCCCTCAATAGAAGAATGGTTAAAAAAGGTGTGGAACATATACACATTAGAGTTTTACTCAGCGGTAAAAAACAATGACATCTTGAATTTTGCATGCAAATGGATGGAAATAGAAAACGCTTTACTGAGTGAGGTAAGCCAGACCCAAAAAGAGGAATATGGTATGTGTTCACTCATATGTGGATTCTAACCATAATTAAAGGTCTTTGAGCCTATTATTCGTGATCCTAGAGAAGCTAAATAAGAAGGTGAACTTGATGAAAATCATGTGGCTATCTGTCTGGAGATTGGAAATAGACAAGAGTCCCAGGAACCTCGGGTGCATGGGGGGTGGGTGGGAGGGTTGTTGGAAGGGGAGAGGGTTAGAGAGAAGGGAGTAGGGGAGGAATGGGGAAAGCCCAGTGGACTGGGATGGGGGGGAGGAAGGATGGATATGGGATCAGGGAAGAATATATTTCAACTAAGGGAGTCATTTTAGGGTTTACAGGAGACTTGATTATAAAGGGGATCCCAGGTCCAAGGAGAGATCCCCAGATTGTTCTCTGGACAGAAGAGAGGGTTCCTAAAACGGCCTAGGCCCGTAACCATACTGATGAATATTTTGCTTATCACCATAGAACCTTCATCTGGCGATGGATGGAGATAGAGACAGAGACCCACATCGGAACACTGGACTTAACTCCCTAGGTCCAAATGAGAAGCAGAAGGAAAGAGAACGTGAGCAAAGAAGGCAAGACCAGAGGGAACCTTCATCCGACGATGGATGGCGATACAGGTGGAGACCCACATTGGAGCACCGGATGGAGTCCCCCAAGGTCCAAATGAGGAGCAGAAGGAGGAAGAACATGAAAAAGGAGATAAGGACTGCGAGGTATGCGATCACCCACTGATACAAGGGGACGGATCTAATGAGAGTTTACCAAGGCCAGTTGGACTGGGACTGAACGAGGACGCGATCCAACCAGATTCTCTGAATGTGGCCGGATTCTCTGAATGTGGCTGGCCCGGAGTCTTTCTGAAAAGCCATTGACAATGACACTGGGACTTGTTTCCTCTGCATATACTGGATTTTGGCGATCTAGTCTGTCTGGACACTCACCTTCCTGGACCTGGAGGGAGGGGAGAGGAACTTGAACTTCCCACAGGGCAGGAAACACTGACTGCTCTTAGGGATGGAGAGGGAGGAGGAGAGGGAGTGGCAGGAGTGTGAGGGTGTTGGGGGAGGGGCGGAAATGGAAACTTTTATAATTTAATAAAATTACTTTAAAAAAAAAGAATGCATCAAATCAACATAAGGAGAAGTGACATGTGTAGAGACCAGCAAAGGCATAGTGATGCTCGGTTCTGTATTAGTTACTGCAGGTCAACTACTCAAAGGACCCCGCAACCATGTCCATGCAGACAGATTCCGAGCCGAGCCAACGAGAACCAGCTAGATTTCTTGTTTGGTAGAGATTCTTGAATCATATATATTAGCATCAATATAAGTCCAAATCTTATAGTAATTTTCTTCCTGTAATAGGGAGAGTAGAGACAAGTACCCCACATCCCTGGCCATGCAGTCAGATTCAGAGCTTAGTCAGTGAGAGCCAGCTAGGTTTCTTATTTGGTAGAGATTCTTGAATCATATATAATAACATCAGTATAAGTCCAAAATTTATAGTAATTTTCTTGCTACAATAGAGAGAGTAGAGACGATCTGACTAAGGAATGGTGATAATTAAAGAAAGCTAAGAAATATAATGGGCAAGGGTGAGGCAGAGATGTGTAACTGGAGAATTGGGAGTTACAATCCCTCCTCAAGTATGCCTTTTGTACTTGACTTTTTGCTGTGTTGTCCCTGCCTGGTTGAACTCATACACTGAGTAATACTCTTCAGACAGGTATCAGTGACTCTACGCTTTAAGTACTAATTTACCTCTTAGTTCTTTTGACAGCCTCATTGTTAACTTTTTAGTCTTTCATTCTAATTGATGGATAATATTATTTGAATATGGCAAGATTTTTCTTAAGTCTAAGTTTATGTATAGTGTTGGGTTTGGAATGTCGTTATTTTATAAACACACAAAGAAAAGTTGAAATACGTGTCCATGAATGCAAACTTAAGGTAATCATGCCCATAAGGCAACACTCAGAGTGGCTCTAAGATGTTTCAGTTACTTGTTTATGAGAACATTACATGTGACATGTATTGTTCATAGAGCTTCAATCAAGCAATCTTTTTTGTTTTGTTTTGTTTTAAAAAAATCTTTTATTTATTTATTAAAAATGTCCACCTCCTCCCATCCTCCCATTTCCCTCCTACGACCCCCACTCCCCCTCCCTCTCGTTCTCCAGTCCTAAGAAAAGTCAGGGTGTCCTGCCCTGTGAAAAGTTCAAGGCACTTCCCCGCCTCCATTCATCTATCGACGGATGGAGATAGACACAAAGTCCCTCATCAGAGTAACAAATTGAACTCCCAAAGTCCAATTGAAGAGCAGAAGGAGGGAGAAGATGAGAAAGGAAGTCTGGACCATGAGGGGTTGGTTCACCCACTGAAACAGTGCGCCTGTTCTAATGGGAGCTTCCCAAATCCAGCTGGACCAGGACTGAATGAGCATGCAACCAAACTGGACTCTCTGAATGTGGCTGAAACGGTGGCTGATTGAGAAGCCATTGATAAAGAACCTTCATCTGGAGATGGACGGAGATAGAGATAGAGATCCACATGGGAGCACTGAACTGAGCTCCCAAGGCCCAGATGAAGAACAGAAGGAGGGAGAACATGAGCAAGAAAGTCAGGACCGCAAGGGGTGCATCCACCCATGGACACGGTGGGATTGATCTAATGGGAGCTCACCAAGGCTAGCTGGAATGGGACTGAATGAGCATGTGATCAAATCAGACTCTCCAAAGGTGGCTGACAATGAGGGCGGACTGAGAATCCAATGATAATGACACCGGATTTGGATTCTACTGCATATACTGGCTTTTTGGGGGCCTAATCTGTTTGGATGCACACCTTCCAATCAAGCAATCTTGATCCTTGTTGTTATCCAGACTGTGGTCCTTAACACACCTCCACCCCTGCACATAATAATTCAGTTCTCACAAAAGTATATATGAGTAGATAAAAAGGAAAAAAAGAAAGAAGAAAGATAAAGAAAGGAAGAGGAAAGAAAGAAGGAAGGAAGAAAGGAAGGACAGAAAGAAGGAAGGAAGGAAAGAAGGAAGGAAAGAAGGAAGGAAGGAAGGAAGGA